TTTGTGTCAATGATCAGTTATGCGACAAATCAGGCTTACNGTTTGGCAGCTCAAATCGATCAGTCCATTAATGACAAATACATTAACATTGAGCCAACCAATGATCCGGAGTGTTTTCAAATCGTCAATATCCAGGCTTGAGTTGCTATCTGTTTTGCGTTGTTCAAACACTGAGTTTTTTTATCTCTGGAATAAGGTCTACAAAATAAATTTACACTGATAACTGCACATACTTTTAACTTTCAAATTTGAAAGAAGAGAAAACTGGACAGCGATACTAGAATCATATTTTTGTTGCTTCTTAATTCCTTAACTTATTCCTTAGTGGGAATTTCTGTTGGAACCTTTTTTTTTTTACAGAATGTAGCTGAAGATATAAGTCTGCTGCCGATATTCATACAGGTGCATCATAATCCCAAAGAGCGCTTGCCACTACAGCATCTGATTGATCAAGCTGCTGAAAGGTCGTCTGTTTTAATTTGGAGGGATCCATTAGTTCTCTTAATCAGGGAAACCTATAGAACGATCCATAGAAGCATAAATTGAAAACAATGGCAAAGTATATGGACTCCATTAAATTTGTTAATTTTTCACTTCCTTTTATTATTATTTAAACGTTTTGCACTTGGAGATCTTAAAATGAAATATTAAACAAACGTAATTCGAAAATGACCCAGAAATCTTTCATTTTTTCTTTTCAAAATTGTGTAAATGAATGCTTTAGCAGTTTTATTTTCTCAATAAAATGTGTAATTGTTGGTCCCCTGATGTTTATTTAAATTTATATTTGCATTTCTGTTGTTTTTTTTTTTAATTTATTGAAGGAGCATAGTTTGATCGTCTTAATTTGCAAGATTGTCATGATTTAATCGTTTAAAATCAAAATTGAGCCCGGAAAAGAAAGAAATTCATATTGAAACTTTTTTGAATTACCTGAATATTTTTCACCCAGTTCAATTTGCTCAGTTAATATTCCAGGACGTTGGGACGATTGAATCTAGATTTAAAAAAAAATATTACCGTCGATCTAACTGATAACGATGATATGAATATTTGGAGGGATAAAGCTGGTTTTGTTGTCAGAGACAAAGTGCAGTTATGTGAGCTCACTGTCAATAAAAATGAATTTCAGAAAACTCTCGAAACAGTTAAAAGTAAGATTTCCAAATACTTTCGTAGAATTGCAAAATCCATAGAGATTTTAAACGCAATAAAATTTTTGAGTAGACTATAAAGTTAGATCATCAACCAGGGCTGTAGTCGTATCCTAATAACGCCCGTCCTTATGTCGCTATCAGTGTTGAGAATTAGAATGCCTTTCTTTATTGCTTTTACTACATATTTCATTTCTCACCATATAGTGTCTCCGCATTCACAAAGGATTATAATTTATAGTCACCAATAAGGAAATTTCGGAGATTTCTCGTGAAAGAACAGCATTTTGACAAAATATGTAAAACTGTACAGTTCAAAGGAACTTGCTTTTTTGTCTGCACATTTTCTGAGATATAGGATAAAATTATAATTTTGAATTTCTGTTGCTCTCCAAATTAAGCGAGATGAACATTTTCAACTGGTTGAAAGCCAACTTACCACTCGTTACTGGAAATAAAACAGTGATACTTCGACCAATTTTTCAGTATAAAAGTCATTCTTTTGCATTTTTCAAAAAATGCGGTGAGATCACTGATCAGATATACATGAAAAGTTCCAATCATTTTCTGGATGGATCACATTATAAAGTCGATCATTTTGATTTATTTCGTGCTAAAGAAATAGCAAAGAAAGGTCGTTGTAACATTTATTGTGGTAAAAATAGGACAGTCTCATCATTGCTCGTTGAATAGTGATGGGAAAAAGTTAACAAGGTAATCACTTGAAGTCCTATTACACCGAAAAAAAGCTGATCGTTCTCCGTTCCACCAATCTCTATATGCTTTCATTCCTGGCCTTTTACGTCTTTTTTATACTTGAGAACTCATTCCAGGAAGTTTATCGTAGCAACTTACAAATGATCAAAATAAATTTTTTAAATATTAGCTTTCACTGCTCGATAAACTGGAAGGATTTGATATGGCAGATGAGAAGTTGTAAATATCACTACCTTATGACAGTTTTGGGTACTTTGTTTAAAATAATTGTGACAACTGACTAATCAAAGAAAAGGCTGATATTGTGTTTACTTAGAGAGAAAAAAACAAAACAAATGAACAAATGGACAGACAGCTTAATTGACCGCTTGCAGCAAGTAGTGAGGATTGCAATAAAAGATGGGGAACAGAAAACAAGTAGCTTGCAGAAATTTCGTTTTTATACATTTCAGATGTCAAAATTTCGAAATTCGATGGCTCACAAATGGGGAAACTCGTGAAATTTGATAAGACAGTGAGCAGTGCAAATCGCAGTGGATTTCTGAAATACCTCTTTGAAGATGCGAATGTATGTTTTTTTAACTGTTCTTTCCTGGACAAGAACACTACTATGTAAACGTATAAATTATACTAATGTAGGAATAAAGCAGTGGATGGTTGTGGTTGTGCAACAACATTTGAAGAACATCCATAAGACAATTTAAACAATATCCTTAACCAAGCATATGAACAAGTAATTCCGTAAATTATTTGTGATCTTAAAATTACGATCTCAAAAACTATGCTCGCTCAGATATTGATTGCTGAAAATGAAGAAACATCTGCAGTGGATGGTTACGGTGTATTCCGGGAAGATCGCATTCTTGCTGTATACGCAAATGCCAAGGAGACTGCTCATGCCATCACACAGGAAATACTCCGAACAATGAATCACGATAAGGTATTGCTATATATTTGAAATGAGTTTGGCAACTTACTTGTCAAGTACCCAACGTATTTGTTTCCAGTTATTTCCCTTAATGCCATAAGGACACAATGGCTGGCTGAAAGATAAACGACTGCCAAGACTTACACATGATCACATTTAAGTTAGAGCCAAATGCTAATTTATCCGTGAGTTAATATTTTAGTCCTCTAAAACTTCAAATGTGTTTTAAGATAATGTTATGTACAATACGGAATCGCTGGAGCATTGAACACAAGCCAAATACCCGTTGCAAACAGATTATTCGTCTTCATACGCGTGCGCTAGTGACAGGCATCATGTGGGACCAAATATTTATTTTAAACGCGGGCATGAATTTGATCTGAATATATTGATCTGAGATAATGCAGTTGAATACAAGCACGTTTTCTCGAACTGCTCACTTCACAGATTGTATAAACGGCATTTCTAAGTACTTGAGGACTTACGGCATGTTTATATTTGCGCTTCTTTTAACACGAAAGATTATGCTTGAATATTCAAGTGAAATTTTGATCCGCTATATTTGAAAACAGCGCTGCCATCTGTACAAAACAAAAAGGAGCAACTGCTTTCATCAATTTCTTCTGAATCGTTCTAAAGCACTGCCCTTCCCTATTTTTCATTGATGATTGTAGGCGCAAATGGGATTAATTCAGTAAATTTTACTGTTTTCCAAACATTTGCAGCATTTCTCAATCTCATGAAGAAATATAAGAGCAAAGTTTTACGAAATTATCAAATTACAAATAATGTGAAAAAAAGCCAGGCGAGGTTTCAATAATGATACCAAAATTACAAAAACGCTGCATCAAAAAGAACTTTCTGTTCCATATCATGACTCATTTTCAGGATCATCTATAAAATCAACAGTTGGTGTTAATTTTACAAATGAGATGGCTTGTTTTAAATCTAACTTTACGTGCGACTGAAATATATCATTATTTTCCGGGATCGAACTGAAAATATTAAAATTGTCTTGAGCAGCAGCCTTCTCAGCATTACAGTTTCCATCGACTGTTAGTATTTCTCGAAATTCATCTTCAACTGTCGCCATTCGTTGAGCGTGATCAGTTATTGTTGTTTTAGCTATATCCAATTCCCTCATTCGCTCAACAAGACGTGATTTTAATTCTATAACCACAGATCTTGCTAATGCTTCATTTGATTCCTAAAAATACAGTTTGATGGGAATATTGAAAAATTTGCCTAATAAACCACTCATTTCGAATGTTCAATTAAGTCATAAACAATTAACGTTTTTCATTTTAAATTCTCTGCTGTATGCTTCACATCCTGTAAATGGTAGAATAAGAAATTTCAAGTGTCCACTAACGTCTACCATATACCCACATTAAGGATGAATGAGGCTTATCATTCTTCACCAAGTGGTAGCAGGTATCGTCCATATGTTATCTTCCAGAAATATACACTTCAATTACCCACAAACTTACGCCGCTTTCCTGCCATGAAGGGAGAAGAATGTCCTCTTGTTGGTCATCTGAGACTGTAGGACATCCTTCATATATCTGCAAACGCAAGATTACCAACTTGCCGTAACAAAAGTTCTTTAGAAAAACGACCGTTCCGTTTATGTTTTAATTTGACAACAGGAAAGAAAACAATTTAAAAGAGATTTTGTTGCAAATAAACAACCTTTTCAACCGATAGCTCATCCGCAGCAGACTCGATTTCGTCAATACTTCCCGATATTGAAGAGTTTGATAACATGCTTGGATGATTTGTATCTTCATGTTCTATATGTGTTTCGGGAGAAGAAAGTTCAATCGCCTTTTTCAATATTTCAACAACACATAGAAATTTTTCCTCCTCTGGTATTTCATCCCCCCTTAGGCTGCAACATGAAAACTTACGTTTCGAAGTATCTTCTTTACAAATGAAAGTTATTTTTGATTATTACCCTTCAGACTGAATTTCGAAACTGTTAGTTCCTTTAGAAAAACAAAATTTATCAGTTATCGAGATTACCAGATGCGATAATGTGGAAAATAATTCAACGGTAAGCAAAACAGACATAGATATGAATTATAGTAAATATACATTTCTGCAGCAAAACTGAGATGCGCCAGAATCTTCTCGGCAGTTGACAGAAAAGGCGAGAACTTTCGTATTTTCTTCTCTGCCACACAATATCCTCGATAATTGATAAATTCAAGACTACATAAAAGCCTGCCAAGAAAATTGTCGCTTTAAAAACTTATTCAAAAACATATCTGAGTTATAAAGCTGAAAAGAAATAATGAATATCCAACAAGCACAGAGATCCCTAGAACTATGAAAACACCCACAGAGGTTAAATGAGAAATTCGGACGAGTAAAAAAATTCACGGGCCTTTATTAATTTGTTTCTGTTTCAGTCAGGTTAATTTAACCCCAAAATAAAACCTAGTTGAGCTGAACCAAATTGTATTTGGTTATATTATATTTAGGGTAAACAGAGTATAATTTATGGTAATTTTATCCACCAATTAAATACAATAAATTAAAAATCAAATTGAGTAGAGGAGCTGGGTACTGCTAGAAAAAAAAATGGAACTACAAAGTAGACCAATCCCTTCGCAGAAAAATTCTACCTGAAAACAGGCCGACATTCAATTTGCAAAAGATTAATTTGTTCAGAAATCTAGCTGCTCTAAATCTCACCTGGCCTTGCTCTTTCTTAGAAGCAGTGTTTCGTAAAGCTGATTCAGAAATATAAGTATCAGTTTGTGCGAAGGACGCGACAAATACAATAGAAAAAGCCGAAGATATTCACTCCGTAAAAGGAATAACAGCTGCCACAATTCCTGCACATATACCGTAAAATCAATAGATAAATAATGCGAAAGAAACGCAAAATCTCTATCCGGTGGGACAGAGACGGCTAAATTGATTAGTTATAATTAATACACCAACCATAGATTAAATTAAAGGCTAAAAATCCAAAAGAAAATATTCATATCGTTGTCACAGCTGAAAAGAAAATAGCAGACACAAGTATATAACACAAATAAATTCAAAATGGATCCTAACAGGAGGTAAAAGCTACCTTTAAGGCAGATAGCTGGAGAAACTCTTCACATATATCGTCTTCTAAAGCCAACCGAGACATTTCGAATGTGAACATCTCACACAATAACTTCTCCGAATCATTATGCCTAAATGGATGAAAATATTCTTTAATTATCCCGACCACTTCCCCATCTGCTGCCTTCAAGAATGAAACTCATACTTCCCTACGGAATGCTTACATTAACTTTTCTTCAACACTATAGAAAACAAGCTTTACGAACATTTAAGTACAAATAACTGTGACATTTACACCTTTATAAAATTCTAATTAGAAGACAAAGAATAAGCATTTGCAAAGACGAAGCAGTAAGAGACTAGCATTACCTGCACAGATTTCTCGACATACGCACATGATACCGAACTTCACAACGAAGCGCTTTCAACAGTTGAAGTCGAAGCGAACGTAAGCACGACACCGCATTCATGTCAAACTTCTTCCGCAGTCTAAACTGTACAATCCGAAAGAATTAAATGGTAATAATATAAATTTACTACATCGACCCGTGGTTCTTAGTTTGATTAGAAGTCACAGATTTGCAAAGCGAAGCCACACTTCACTTTTCAGAATGCATTACTTGTATCAGGCTATCGCGATGAACAGAAAAACCGCTGATAAGCTATCATCAGGAGTGGAATCGATACAAATCGATGACTCATACATTTATCATATAGAAAGTGAAACTGACATACCCGAAAAAAGCTATTTCTCGGGATCGAATGGAAGCAACAATATGATGGAAAACAGAATCGAAATCAGATGATATACAGACATAGGAAAATACGATATAATAGCAAAACCGTTTGGTAGCTTCCAGTAAACCGATGAAAAGTGCAGGACATAGCAAAAATCCTAATACCTGATGAGAGGCAAAGAATCCGCTTGCAATAACGGCAATTATTACCGAAATGCATAACAAGGACTGAAAGGGACTGACCGAGTATTATTCATGAGATTTCAAATGTCCATGCATTCCAAGACAAAGTGGATAATGCTCCAAGACTGGGATAAGACCAGTAAATGAAAATTCATAAAATCGATGGAACACCTACTTTGGAAGAAATTAGCGATTTCCCCTCAGATTCCAAATGATACTCTTCCACCATTTCCAGATCCATATTTTCCAAGAGTGACTTCTCGAGAAGTAATCTATATACTCGCCAGGGAAAGCTTGAACCAGACATTCTTGAACCAGACATGTCAACATAGCTCGGTGTCGCACAGGCCTATGAAGGACTTTGTTAAACTGGAATAGTGCATCAGTGAAGTAACCGAACAATCAATACAATTAACACAAACCCATTCTCAAATACTAACGATCACTTTCACTAATGAAGCTCAATTTCCAGATGCAGTAATTAATCAAGGTTATCCCCCAGCTGCACAAACTATCAACCCAGCATTACTGAACAGTAACAATAAGATATATATGTTAACAGTATATAATGCACTTGCAATAACAGCATAAGCAATAATGCAGATTTATTATTGAAAAATGAAACATATTTTAAAAACACGACTAACCCATACGAATAAGAACTTGACAACAGTAAAATATTTTCCCATTCCTCCTTTCTGTTAAAGCTTCGACATAAAGGAAAGTTCTTCCAGGGTGCTCAAATTGAAAACAATCAAACTGACAACAGATGAGAAAAATAAACAGCTACGAAATATTAAAAAAGACCATGATAAGCTAAGCATAACAATCCAGAAAAATGATTTACAAATTATGAAAACCGATCAATGCAAAAAAAAAAACGCACAAAAAAATAGAATATTCTGGTCAAGAACTGCAAATATCGACAAAAAAAGCTTGAATCACAGAAAACTATATATACGTATATATATATATAT